GGAAGGGGGCGGAGGGGCGGAGGCGGAAGTTGGCTGAGGGGCGGAGGCGGAAGGCGGCGGGCGGAGGTGAAAGAAGAAGAAGAAGAAGAAGAAGAAGAAGAAGAAGAAGAAGAAGAAGAAGAAGAAGAAGAAGAAAAGAGGAAGAACAAGAAGACGAAGAAAAAGAAGAAGATGAAGAAGAGAGAAGAGGAAGAAAGGAGAAAGAAGTAAGAATAAGAGAAAGAAGAAAAAGAAGAAGAAAGAAAGAACAAGAAGAAGAAAAAGGAGAAAGAAGAAAGAAGAAAGAAGAAGAGGAAGAAAGAAGAAGAAGAAGAAGAAGAAGAAGAAGACGAAGAAGGCGGGGAAGGGGGGGGAAGGCTACCTCCTCGCTCGCTCGCTGGCTTCCTCTTCCCTCGCTCCCTCCTCGCTCCCTCCTCGTGCCCTCCTCGTGCCCTCCTCGCTCGCTCCCTCTCACTCCCTCCCCGATCCCTCCTCGCTCGCTCTCTCCTCGCTACCTCCTCCCTCCCTCCTCGCTCCCTCCTCGTTGCTCGCTCCCTCCTCGCTAGCTTTCCCGCTCCTTCCTCGGTCACTTTCCCGCTCCCTCGTCGGTCCCTCCTCGCTCGCTTTCCCGCTCGCCCGCTCGCTTTCCCGTCCCCTCGCTTTCTCGACACCGGCCTTGTAACGAGCGTGAGGCAAGGCACAAAGTCGAAGTCTTGGATTCTGAATGCCGAAACAGTTAGTCACACTGAGTACGAGTACAGCAGCAGAAAACTGGTATGAGACTTGTCCCCGTACCATACGGGGAGCCGGTCTAAGTACCGGTGACACGAACGGTACCAAGGGCATGTCATAAGAGGCCCCGAGGGCAGAACTGAAAAATGTGGTATTTGAAAGTGGCGCCCGAATTGCAGCATGGCGCCAGTTGTCCAAAATCCTACGGTACCAAAGGAGGGATTTGGAAAAGGGGTGCCAGGCCGAAAACGGGATGCAATTGAAATAGCAAAAAGATAGACCAGGGATCGAGCCCTGGTGGAATCCGTAACTGGCCTACTCTGTCGGTCGGTCCGTCACCTAATTTGCGGGTTCGCCCGCCGGCCGGTCGGTCGGGCCTCGCCACTCCAACCGCCCTGCCAGGGCGCTACAAGGCAGGGGGGAAAATTGGCGGAACGCGGGGGGAACACGAGGGGAACGCGGGGGGAACGTGGGGGGGAAGGAAGGGGGGAAGAAAGAGGGGAAGACCCAAGAGCCTAGCTAAGTGGGTACACCACCCGTGTTCGAACCCAGATGCTGGAATTTTATGAGGAAAACCAAATATTCTTTTTTTTTTTTTTTCTGAACCACCAGTACTTGGCCCAGCTATCGCAGCCTACCCTGGAAGTGCCCTGCGCGTCGTTTCCTGCCGAAGCGCCAATTCGATTTTTGTTTTCGGAAAGGCTGGCGGCGCTAGCCTTCCAGATCCAGTTGCCCGAAGCGCGAACTTCGCGCAACCCGGGGCCCCCGTCACCTCAATGATGTTATCTCAAGAGCGTCGCACTTTTCGAAAATAGAGAAAAAAAGAAAAACAAAAAGAAGAGGGGGACAAAGGCGGGGACGCAGACTGGCTGGAATTCGGGACAGGAGGGAGGGAGAAGGTGCGGGGAATATGGGAAGGAGGAGAAGATGGTAGGAAGAAGAAGATGGCAAGTAGGAAAAGGAGAGGGGAAGCGGCGGAGTACGATGGTAAGGAGCTGGACTAGTAGGAGAAGGAGAGGGGAAGAGGAGTAAGAAGATGACAGTGGAAGGTTGTGTGTGTCTGTGTGAGGAGGAGGAAG